AAATAATTGCCCGCGCTTCTTCGAGTTTCCTGCAGAGTTTCTTGCTTTCCGATGCGCTCGCTGCTTCCGCAAGCTTGCTTATAGGATACTGCCACCGGAGACGGGCACCGGTTTTTATGCGTTTTTGCATATGTGCAAATTGCAAAAACACATTGGAAAGAGGCTGTATGTGTGTGTGTGTCTGGGTGTTCGCACTTTTTGTCACCCACTTTCAATTCGAGAACTAGAAAGACTGGAAGGCTGAAAGTTTGGGAGTATGTGCCCATACCGCTCGCGACCCTCCCATTTTAATATCATCTCCCGCGGATGCCTGGGTGCTTAGTATGGACGTTTTAAAAAAATATGCAAATTTCTAGGCGGGAAAACGATCTCGGGAACCACACGAGCCAAGGGGCTGAAACTTTGTAGGAATATTCCCTGTGCATGTACTAGATTTCAACCTCAGCCGCCAGGTATGCATGGTACTCACGTAAGGGCATATGAAAGTTTTAGCGGGAAAATTGCTAACTCAGTAACCAGAAAAGCTGGAAGGCTGAAATTTTGGGGAGATGTCCAAGTACAACTTAAGTATTTCAAATTCAGCTTTGAGTATGCGTGATTCTTACGTAGGGGCAATTAAAAGTTTTGGCGGAAAGATTTCTCATTGAACAGCTGGGTTACTTTCAAAGAACGACTGCTAAATAGAAATTGTACATTTGCTTTATGCAAAACTGATGGTGTTTTATGCTAGTAACCGCAAAAGGTAGATGCAAAAAACAGCCATTTATGCAGTTTATGACCTGAGTACTTCAAGTTCCGTGCAAAAACGCATGATTGCACGGGCCCGCCCGGTGAGTTCCAGCCTGGGTTCAACTGAAAAACAAAATATCCCTTTTGTTTACCAGTAAACAATGATGTTTCACAAACAATATCCTAAAATTCCGTGTCTTGAATTCTTATTACTTTCGAGGAAATTATTTTCAGTTCCATTCAACCTGCTGTAATGTGTTTCATGAAAAATTTCTCCACAAATTGCTTTTGTTGAAAATCAGGAAATAACAGTTCTAATGGAATAGCATAAATCCGTTCAGAATGCATAAAATTTATTGCCGAAGGAATTACTCTCGCTGCTGGATTGAAATTATCCCCTGTGTAATTATATCCGGCGGCTTGATTGCTACTCCAATTATTATGGTAGAGCACTAGTCTTCAAATTCTTTAAATTAGAGCGCTCGAGCCGCGCACTTGAAAAATGAAAATCCAATTAACTCGCA